GGTCAGGTGCAGTCGGTCGGTCGGTCGGTCCTGGGCAGCGCGGCGGCGGAGCCAGGAGAGGTGGGGGGAACGAGGTCTGCGCCCTCGGTGTCATCGCGTCTGCTGTGAGTGCGGCCGACCGCTAGCTGTATACCAATACATACATATATATTTACACGCGTCCTTGCAAAGTCTGGCTGTTTCCTTGGGGCTCTGTCCCGAGCATCCCGCTCGCGCTTAGCCGGGTGCTTTGCAAAAATCTTGGAGTCGTCCGGAAGCTGCGTGGGAAACGAGTGTGGGTCGCGAGTGTTGCAGTTATCTTGCAAAATTATAGATATATCTGTTGGGAATACAAGTGTGGGATGGGTGCATGGCATCAATAATTTAGTGTATGGATACTATATGTGGTAAAGAGAAATGTATTTCACTTACCTTCCTACCTCTTTTCCCTTAAGAACTGGAGCTTTTTTTGTGTTGGCTGGAAAGTGTTAGGATTTAATGAATTTGTGTACTCATATGTACACAAATTGTTGTGTAAACATATGTAAGAATGAAAGAGAAGGCAGACTACATTTTAAGTATCTCAGTATTAGGAGGAAGTATTAACATAGTAGAAGATGATAGAACCACATATGAGAATCTGGAAGACCAATGCAATCTCAGCTCTGCACTTTTAAGTTCCGAGAGATTTGCTGAATGCTAAAAATCATATGGATGGAGTTTATAGCAAATTCTTCCCTTGTACTGCATGGCATGAGCCCATGCCCTAAACAGATGGATGCACTGTCATTAAAAAGTGAGAAAAGAGCAAAAAGAAATCCCCATGAAGCTGACATATTAAATGGATGCATACGAAACCCTCCATCCAGGAGACAGAGGAAAATTTTTAGTAAACAGCAGCTCACATAGGAAAAAAATTGAAACACCCTGGATATTGAATGGGGAAGGTGCAAAACCTGTTTGGAGTGTGTGACATCGAGCTTGAGGTCTAACACAACTCCAAATTGTTTATTATTTTATTTTATTTTAGGGTTAAAAGAGCAATATTAGTATGGTGGCCCACTCTTCATTTCTGAGAGCAAGAGGATGGTTTTGGGACTGCACTTATGGCCCCTCTCACTTGTCACCAACTTGTGCAGCCGAGTGTTGGGGTGTTTGCATGTCAGTCTTGCTCCCTTGACACAGAAACCCTTGTTTGTCTAGATCCCCAACCTGTATTGATATTTGGGGTGTTTCGCATTGTGTAGTACCACTTACTTTAGTACTTTACTACTAGTTCCTTTTCATTTAAAGTAACATCTCTAATGCAACCTTTGCCTGGTAGTTAATTAAATTCTTGTTTCTTTTCTAAGGAAGCTACGATGAAAGAAGCTAACCATGAAGGGGCACAGGAATTTGTACTGCCTGTTTTTCCACAGATACTAACAAGTAAGCAGTATATGATACCATAGGATGGAGGTGGACTTGGTTTCTGTTAATGACACTTGTCACACAGGTGAGGAACACTCAGGTCATTTCAGGCAAACCTCCAAGAGGGTGGGCTGCAAAGCCAGCCTCCAGGTGGAGGTGCAGGAAGATTACTCACCACCTTCTAGTCCTGGTTGCATCCCTGCTGCGTCTTCCATCCGACAAGGAGTCCTTGGAGAACTGCACTGTGAAGAAGAGGAGACTTTTGAAACTTACTACCAGAAGTGTAACTCAGCCACCCCTGGAGTTTTTGTCACCAACTTTGACCTGCAGTGTGAAGATGAAGGTTTAGAGTGCAGTTCTGCACTCTCTGAGGAACTTCAAGGAGGAGTAAGTGAGGATGATGAAAGCATCGTTCTTACTGATTTACTTGAGGAGGAGGAGGACTTGGAGCACATCTCTGGGAGCCCTTTGACTTACAAGGGCAAGAAATGTGATGCCTCTTTTCAGGATGTGAGTGAGCTGCAAGAACACAAGCAGATTTGTCTTGTGGAAAACTCATGGCAGTGCCCCGTGTGTGGCAAAGAGTTCTATCATGCCGCAAACTTGCGAATGCACATGCTCATTCATTCCAGTGACAGGCCACATAAGTGTCTAGAATGTGACAAGGGTTTCATCCGCACAGCTGATGTCTGGAGGCACCTGTGCAACGTGCGCAAGATAGAGCCTTCTAACACTTCAGGAAATGGCGTGGCCAGGAACCTGTGGTCTCCAGGACACAGGAATGGTGGGGGAGATGTTTATCAGCACTGTTCTGGTGACCAGGTACCTGGGGACTGTTGGGAGGCTTCGTACATCTGTCCCAACATGTTGCAAAGGCTTCCATAAGCCTAGCTTGCTTTCCAAACATAAGGTGATGCACCAGGAAGACAAGCCTTATGAATGTCACGAATGTGGGAAATCCTTCGTGCAGTTGCTCAGGATGAAAAGACACCAGCAGACTCACTCTGAGGAGCGTCCCTTCTACTGCGAGGAGTGTGGGGGGACGTTCACCCGGCTGGCATCGCTCCAGCGTCATCAGCGGATCCACATGGGAGAGAAGCCCTACTCCTGCGCTTACTGTGCTCAGGATTTCACCGAGCCAGGCTCCTTGAGGAGACACGAGCGCACACACAAAATGAAGACTCCATAGTTTATGGCTATTTTGTTTTCTTCTGACCTAGTGTATGCACTCTGCTTTGAAAAATCCTGCTCATAAGCAGAGGAGCAAAAGGCTTGTCACCAATCACCATCTGCAAGACAGCCAGTATAACCCTGGGTAGATGCTGTGATTTTGGAGGAACTTTGATCCCTATGGGGAAGAGCAGTGCTTGCTGGTGGTACGCAGCATTCCCTGGCAGCTCCAAGAGGAATTGCTTCCATTGCCAATGCATCGGGTAGACGTCAAAAGAGATGCAGAGCTGTTGGGTGTTACCAGGAGTAGTTGGACTCATCTGGGGCATCTGATCATGTAAGACTCATTGGATTAGAGCTTTTGTGCACATATGATCTCAAAGTTAGGTATTCCTGTCTAGATAATCACCACTGTCTGATGCTGCTTTTGCAGAACTGTCCTGGTAGGTATCCCAGCCCACGAGACCAGAACGATTCACCCATCCCTTCCAACCACACGTGTTGTCTCCTTTTACTGTGTTAGTTGTAATAACCCATGATTTGGATTTTCTGTTTTTAATGCCCATTTATGATCTGCACCCCGTGCAAATATGCTTGCCCATGGTGGTATTGGTCTTTCATGTGCTTGTGTATTACTGGAGTATTGATGAATGCAGAGAGAGTTGTGTGCTTGGCTTCCAGTAATGTTTGTGGAAGGAGCATGTGGCTCTGTGCGTCCTGAGTTGAGATAGAAGAAATCTTTTAGCCTGGCCATCTATTGCATCACTGTAAGAGATGTCTAAGAATTTTAAATTCAGAGAGAGAAAAAAAAAAGATAATAAAAATGATGAAAATCTTCTGAGTTTCTTTCCAGTTTGTGAGAGTTGGAATTATGGTTCTTTCTCTGCAAAATTCATCCTACCAAGCGATGTGTGTGAATTCTCAGTGGATTCAAGGGCCATTTTCAAGAGATGTTACCAATTTATTTTTTAACTGTCTTATCGAAAGAAACTCAACTGCCACTTAACCGTGCTCTGAAAAGTTCCTTGCGTTTCAGTTAGGGAAAAGGAATAGTTATGTTTTTTTTTCCTGCTCCCAGAAGAGTAATTGCTGGTTTAATTTTATAAAGATCTGTGAGATCCTATAAAAGTGGAACTTTCAGCCCTCTCCTGTATAGTATTTAAACGCTGTGCTTTACTGTGCACTGTTCCATTCAGGTTTAATCCCAGTTCTCTATCTGCTGTTACTGGGAGATGCTCCTTTTCACAACCTTTGAGAATTCTGTTTTTGTGGAATAGAGCAGCAGTAGAGCTGTCCCATGTACAAAGCGAATGCGGTGCTAAAAGTGGGAGCAAAAGGGGCCTGAGACCAGTAGCTGTTTGGAAACAGAAACTGTTGGGAGGCTTCGGACAGAGTTCCCAGAGGATTGGACTTTGGACCCTCCCCGCTGCATGAGGATGATGCTAATGTCGAGATGGATATGTGGGAAATAAATGTGCTAGGGTGGAGTGTGAAGAGAAGACAGGACTGGGAAAAAATATAGGAAAAGGGTGAGAGGTCCTCCAAAAGCAGTGGTCTAGAAAAGATAAAAATTTGTGCTCCAGACCAGTGACTTATCAGGTGGAGGAAAGGGGACAGAAAATGCCTATGGATTGCTGTTGTGCTGCAGTTTTGGAAAGGGTATTGGGATCCTAGGAGTTC